AAAAAAAAAAAAAAAATAGTGACAATTCTACAAATAGTTGTGTTTGTTAACATCAACTTGCTATGCTCTGCTCTGAAGGGAGCTTTCTGAGTCAGACCAAATCGACCATCCAATAATCTAAATGAAATTATTTATTAGGAAAGCGGTTGGTTTTCTTTTCTTTTTTTTTGGGTCTGGTTACACTATCACAAAAGGTATCATAAGCTAAACCAAAGACTTCGAAATGTATTCAAAGCGAGTTCCAACCTTGACAATCTTTCCTTCCCAATTCCTTCTCCAGCTTCCTTCTTCACCAGCTGTAGGACTCAATCAGGTGGGTTAGCAGCCCAATGTGTAGGTATGGAACCATTTCTTGTGATGGAGGCTATAAGGTGAACCAATTGGTTTCCATTCCTTCTAACTGCTTAGAATTGAACTGAAGGAAGTGTCCTCATGCACTACCATATATCCTCTTGGACTATTTTAATGTCCTTTGGCGTGTTTAATGGGTTAGAATTTTTTTATATTGGACTTTCATTAATTGATAGTTAATTTTAAATTTGTGAAAAATGGATTAAACTTATAGTATAATGAGATGAGCCAAATATTATTAAGTGATCTATTTTGATGGATTTATGTACATCATATTAATTGATGTGGTTGAGATGGTTAAGTGTAAACTTTAATCTAATTATGGACCCTAATGGAAGAGCCTATTAAATTCATTATAAATAGCAGACTAGGTCTTATCTCCACCTAATTTGGATTATTCCATTGAGAATCGTCTGTTGTTTTAAAGAAGGAGAGAAAGATTTTATCCTTCTGTAAAAAAAACTTGAAAATCAAATATCATGACTCACACATGTATGTTTTAAATTATATAATTTAGGCGTTCTAAATTTCATATATAAATTATTAAAATTTTTATATGTGTATCAGATTCATCGTATATGAATTTAGAATGCAATAAATTTTATTTTATAATTTTATTCATACAATTTAAAATTTTTAAAACCAATTTTTGTGACGTCGGCGACACTAATTTTCTCAAAATACAGTGAACGTCGATGGTCATTGTCGAAACAAAGTCATGGACATCACTTTTACAGAAAAAAGAAAAAAAGGGTGAATGCTTGGACGACCACAGATTTTTTTTTTTTTTTTAATGAAACTTGAGATGTACTTGTCAAAATCAATAATGGATGGCGGCTGTTCTCACGAAGTCAAATATATATATTGATGTGATTATTAAAATATTAAAAATTAGATTTATTTAAACAATTGTGACGTTTATGTTAAAAATTTTATGATTAATATTTACTCTCTTCTTTTAGTTGACTCGTGTAAATAACATTGGGTAATGATGATGAATAGATGTAAACTTTTTTTTTCTTATGCTAATGCAATTTTAATTGAATTGTTATAATTGATAGAGGGTGTTTATACGATTCTAATTTTAATTCCTAATAATTTATATGATGAAATTTTTTTTTATGTATATGTTATTATTAGACGTTGGTAGATGTGAATTTAAATTACTTAATTTTAATAGTAAAATAAAATTGAGACCTGATTACAACGATTGATGATGAGTGATCTATAGAGGTATATATTGATTAGTTTTTTATATTCATTGATCACATGATATTTAATTATGAGTAATTTGTTATAATATTCCGATTTAAGAAATTCTATAAGTTAAGATAGATAATTGCCACCAAAGTGGTTCATTCATTAAAATTTGTAGATTTTCTC